TGGCACAATCTCGGCTCACTGCAATCTCTGCCTCCCGGGTTCAAGCAATTCTTCTGTCTCAGCCTCCCAAGTAGCTGGGACTACAGGCGCACGCCACCATGCCCCACTAATTTTGGCATTTTTTAGTAGAGACGGAGTTTCACCGTGTTGGTCAGGATGGTCTCGATCTCTTCACCTTGTGATCCACCCACCTTGGCCTCCCAAAGTGCTGGGATTACAGGTGTGAGCCACCGTGCCCCGCTCTCCAACTGCCTGCTTTAATTAGGCAATCTGGAACAGGCTCCAGGATACACTGTTAGGTGAAAAAAATAAAAATAAGGTGCAGAGAGTGTGCACAGTGTGCTGCCACTAGGGGGAGAAGAAGGAAGACCATGCATTCGTAAATTCACTTTGCACATACACAAAATATCTCTGGAAGTACACACAACAGACTAGAAATGCTTGATGAGAGCTGGGTGGTTTGAAGACAGGGATGAGACTACAGGGAGACAGCTTTCCTGTGGACAGCTGGCCCTCTGTATCTGCTGAATGTACTACATCATTTTATATAAGGAACTTGAGCATCTACAGGTTTTTGGTATCCTCAGGGGATCCTGTGAATGGGAGGGACAACTGTACTTTTTTTTGCATTTTGAATTTTTTTTACCATATATATATTATAACCTATTCAAATAAATTATTATTTCCAACAAATATAATTAACATCCTTCCTAAAAGTAATATTTATGAGATATATATATATATATATATATATATATATATAATAACATAGTTTATAATGTCTTTTGTTTTTTTCTTGAGATGGAGTTTTGCTCTTGTTGCCCAAGCTGGAGTGCAATGGCGTGATCTTGGCTCACTGCAACCTCCGCTTCCCGGGTTCAAGCAATTCTCCTGCCTCAGCCTCCTGAGTAGCTGGGATTGCAGACGTGTGCTACCATGCCCAGCTAATTTTTGTATTTTCAGTAGACACTGGGTTTGACCATGTTAGACAAGCTGGTCTCAAACTTCTGACCTCAGGTAATCCACCCACCTCGGCCTCTCAAAGTGCTGGGATTACAGGCGTGAGCCACCGTGCCCACCCTATAATATCACTTTAAGTGAACCATTATATGTATGTATAAAACAAACAAAAGTAACAATAAGCAAAACTCCTATGTATAATAGAAAAAAGACTGGAAAGGGACATACTGTAAGTTTAATGGTGGTTTCTGTAACTCATCTTTTGTTCTTTATTCATTATTTTCCAAATTTTCTTTTGTTATATGTTTTGTTGCATAGTGGCTAACCATTATGAAACAAAATAGATGGCATAGGTGACTATACCATCTAAGTTTGTGTACGTTCACTCTATGATGTCTACACAGTGATGAAATAGCCTAAACACACAATTTTTTCAGAACATACTGTAAACCAAAAGGTGTCTGAGACAGGTCTTAATCAATTTAGAGGTTTATTTTGCCAAGGTTAAGGACCATGGCTCATGGCACAGCCTCAAGAGGTCCTGAGAACGTGTCCGAGGTGGTTTGGTTACAGCTTGATTTTATACATTTTAGAAAGAAGTTACAGGCAAAGACATAAATTGATACATGTAGGGTGTGATGGTTAATACTGAGGGTCAACTTGATTGAGTCGAAGGATGCAAATGTGTCTGTGAGGGTGTTGCCAGATTAACATTTGAGTCAGTGGGCTGGGAAAGGCAGACCCACCCTTAATCTGGATGGGCATCATCTAATTAGCAGCCAGTGTGGCTAGAATATAAAGCAGGCAGAAAAATGTGAAAAGAGAGACTGGCCTAGCCTCCCAGCCTACATCTTTTTCCTGTGCTGGATGCTTCCTGTCCTTGAACATCAGACTCCAAGTTCTTCAGTTCTGGGACTTGGACTGGCTCTCCTTCCTCCTCAGCTTGTAGATGGCCTATTGTGGGACCTCATGAATGTGTGAGTTAATAAACTCCCATAGATATAGTAGCATATATATATATATATACACACACATATATATATATACAGCATATATATGTATATATATATGCTGTATATATATATATATATGCTATTAGTTCTGTCCCTCTAGAGGACCCTGACTAATACATAAGGTATACATTGATTTATCCCAGAAGGGTGGAACATTTTGAAGCAGGGTGGGAAGTAGGGGCTTCCAGGTCATAAATGGATTCAGAGATTTCCTGACTGGCGATTAGTTGAAAGAGTTAAGCTCTGCCTGAAGTTAAAGTCTGCTCGAATTAAGGTAAGGGGGACAGGAGTTGTGGAAGCCAAGGTTCTTCTCATGTAGATAAAGCCTTTAGGTAGCAAGCTTCAGAGGGAATACATGGTAAATGTCCCTTATTGGACCTTAAAAGATGTCAGAGTCTTAGTTAAATCTCTCCTGGATCAGGAAAAGACCCAGAAAGGGAAAAGGATTCTCTCCAGAATGTAAATTTCTCCTATATGAGACAGTTTTGCAGGACCATTTCAAAATATGTCAAACAAATATAATTTGGGGTAAAACACTTTTATTTCCAGAGTCAGCTGGAGTTGATATTTATTGCTACAAAGAATCTGTTCTGTCAGTCTTAAGATCTCTATTTTAACGTTAATGCTGATCAGTTGTGTGTAAACTTTAAAAGAGAGAGTGTATGAGGAGGCATGTCCAACACCCGCTTCTCATCATGGCCTGGACTAGCTATTTGGCTTTCTTTGGAAGCCCCTTGGCTAGGGGAGGGGGTCCATTCAGTCTGCTAGGAGACTTGGAATTTTAATTTTGGTTTACAGTATCCTCGTTGTTAAGTGACACATGACTATATCCTATCTTTCCAGGTTGCAGTAACAGAGCTGTCCAGAGGTGGACTAGCCTAACCACATGGTCTTGACCGCCCTCGTGGGAAAAGGGCTAGATGTGGACTAGAAGCTGGGCCTAGTGGAGCAGTCCCACCTGCAATGCCAGGTATTCAGGAGGCTGAGGCAGGAAGATTGCTTGAGTCCAAGACTTCCAGATCAGCTTGGGCAACACAGACAGACCCTGTCTCTAAATAAACAAAATAAAACAGATCTGGACTACAGATGAAGCTGCAAGGCAGTGGGCAGAGTCAACCAAAAGGAAAGGAGGAAGGATTTCAGTTGCTTCCATCTGAGGCATTTTCTCCATCTTCACTATGGCTGTTTATGTGCTGCGGGAGAGCCAGGTGAGCCTGTGAAGCCTTCCCATCTACTGTGCTCTCACGGCTTGGATCACCTCCCATGCTAAGTTCTTTCTAGTTGATAGCTCATAATTTCACACTTAGCTTCTATGTGACCTGTTGGCATCTTTTTTTTTTTTTGAGACTGAGTCTCACTCTATTGCCCAGGTTGGAGTGCAGTGGTGCCATCTTGGCTCATTGCAACCTCTGCCTCATGGGTTCAAGCGATTCTCCTGCCTCAGCCACCTAAGTAGCTGAGTTTACAGGCACACACCACCACACCCAGCTAATTTTTGTATTTTTAGTAGAGACGTGGTTTCCCCATGTTGGCCAGGCTGTTCTCGAACTCCTGACCTCAGGTGATCCACCTGCCTTGGCCTCTCAAAGTGCTGGGATTACAGCTGTGAGCCACCGCCCAGCTGGTAGTTTCCATTTTGATTCTCCATCTATAGATGTGTCCCACCTGTGCTAAATGTCCTATCCTCTACCTCTTGTTTTAAAGTCCCCTACTTCCTGGTTGTCTTCTGGAGAGCACCCAGGTACATTAAACAGGTTTGAAGTAAGCATGTGGTTCCCCTGCCAAACCTGCTGCCTACCTTGTACTCCCCATCTCTGTTAATAGCACTACCACCCACCTAGTCGCCCGGTAGGATCTTGGCTTTCACTTTGGCTCTTTCCCCTCCCTCTCCCTCCCACTGTTCTGCCAGTTCTGCCCCTCTCTCGATACCCTCTGCCTATCATCCTTTACCCTCCCATCTCCCAGCCTTTAGTAGAATCTGTCATTTATAAATAAAAATCTGATCCAGCAGCTCTCCTACTTAAGGACTCTCAGCTCTCCTCCTTAACAACTCCATTCATGTGATAAAATCAAAATTTCTTGTGCGGTAGAAGAGAGTCTTCATAATATATTCCCAGACTGCCTCTCTGGCTACATTCTCTAACACAGCCTAAATTATACCAGCCTTCAGCTTCTTAATGTCCTCCAAACAAAATCTGTTCTTTACAACTCAGTTCTTGTACAACTCTGTTCTTTTGAACGCTGCTGTCTTTCATATTTAGTGCTCTCCTACTGACCTTTTCAAGGTTTCCTCAAGGGTTTGAGGGGCAATCTCTTTCCCCTTGTCTCAATCAGAAGACCTGGGCTATGTGGATGATGGTATGCATGATAAAATGGCTAAACCTTTGATTTGATTCTGTTCTTAATTTTCATCCTGCTCCACTCTACTCTTTGTAAAGGTTTAATAAATAAGCATGAATTCTTTCCTGGCATTAGGCTGCAATTGGAGCCAGAGGATTATATTACAGCTAAGAAGTGTCTGAACAAACAGGGGAGGGGGGTCAAAATTGTGCCGGAAGGAAAAATGCCTTTCAGGCTTTTGGAGATTTGCTGCCTCTGATCCTCTGGCTTTGATCTCCAGGACTCCATTACAATAAGGTATTAGCTTTAACCAGCTCGTTGTTTCTATGCCAGGAAGGTAGGCTGAGGGATCGTGCTTAGAAAAGAAGTGAGACCCTGTCTTTACAAAAAATTTAAAAATTAGCCAAGGATGGTGGTGCGTGACTGTAATCCTAGCTACTGAGGCTAGGCTGAGGTGGGAGGATCGCTTAAGCTCAGGAGTTGGAGGCTGCAGTGAGCTATGATCATGCCAGTGTACTCAAGCCTGGGGGAAAGAGGAAGACCCTGTTTTTTAAAACAGCAACAACAACAACAACAAAAACCAAGCAACAGTGAATTGCTGTCAGGCTCAGACACAACACAGCACTAGAAGACAGTTTCTTCTCCAGTAAGGACAAGAAGTAGGTGCATCAGGGGATGGATACCCAGTTTTCCATGTTTGTGATTATTATGCATTTCATGCCTGCACCAAAATATCTCATGTACCCCATAAATATATACACCTACTGTGTACCCACAAAAATTAAAAATTACAAAAATCAAAGAAGTAGGAACAGCCATGGCTGTGATCTAGAAGCAGGAGAGGAGGTACCCCCTGACCTTGACTGCAGTTAACCAGCTTCTCTGGAGCCACAGCTCCTGCTGGCTAGAGGAGACCCAGGCCCAGGACTTCCTGTGGGCAATTGCTATTGTCACACCTCCATAGGATGATCATCATGTGGGCTGAGTGGAGAAAGGTGAAGGATGGGAGCCATCGCCTGAGAAATTAACAAGACAAGTGTGGCAAAGGGCATTGTTGGGATGAGATGCCCAGTTTCTAAGCACTTCCTTCTTCCTCCCCTGCACATGCACATGCATACATACACATACACATTCACACTCGTAGACATGGTCACAGGTAGACACCCCTTCCTTTGAGCCTTCTTCCAATCCTGTTTCATTGTCTGTTTCAGATTCAGATAGACAATTATAATATCCAGGATTATGATGCAGAGACGTGGTTCAATTTGCTATAGCAGAGATGGGAGCAGAAAAAAAAAAAAGAGTAGTATTAACATTTTTGAGGCCAAGATAGCCCTGTGGGAGCCAAAATACAGTGACATTCAAAGAACGTGCCTCCTGGCCTAGCAAAGATTAACCTCCTCTCTTTCATTTCTATACTTGCAAAGTTGCTGGATTAGTCCGTTTTCATGCTGCTGATAAAGATATGCCTGAGACTGGGAAGAAAAAGATTTAATTAGACTTGTAGTTACATGGCTGGGGAGGCCTCGGAATAATGGCAGGAGGCAAAAGGCACTTCTTACATGGTGGTGGCAAAAGAAAATGAGGAAGAAGCAAAAGCAGAAACCCCTGATAAACCCATCAGATCCCGTGAGACTTATTCTCTATGATGAGAATGGCAAGGGAAAGACTGCCCCCCACCCAAGATTCAATTACCTTCCCTGGGTCCCTCCCACAACACATGGGAATTCTGGGAGATGCAATTCAAGTGATATTTGGGTGGGGACACAGCTAAACCATATCATTCATCATCTCTCACCACCTCCATTTCCTCACCACAAACTCATTCATCACTCCTCAGGATAACTCCATCCTCCATGCCTTCTCCAGGAAGATACCAATTCTCAGACAACATCCTCTCCCCTGGGGGAATGGCAGTGCCATTCCCAGAACCGGGAAATCAGGAGAAAGGTAGTCTCTCAGGCAGCAGCTATGAAGCCTTGGAGTCATCTTTGCCTCGTTTGTTCATGTCCCCTTTACTGCCAGCTCAGCATCTGATGAGTTACCAAGTCCCACCAAGTCCACCCCATAGGATTTCTCTAGCATCTGCCGACATCTTCACCCTCACAGCAGTCACAAAGCACCAAAGTGGGATTGAGAAAACTGCCCACCATCAACCCCAGCTCTCCAACCACCACCTTCTTCATGTCTATATGAGCTTCCTAAGGTTGCTATAGCAAAATACCACAGAGTGGCCTTAAACTGCAGAAACTGGCCAGGCACCATGACTCATACCTGTAATCCCAGCATTTTGGGAGGCTGAGGTCGGTGGATCACCTGAGTTTAGGAGTTCAAGACCAGCCTGGCCAACAAGGTGAAATCCCATCTCTACTGAAAAAAAGACAAAATTAGCCGGGCGTGATGGCCACACCTGTAATCCCAGCTACTCAGGAGGCTGAGGCAGGAGAATTGCTTCAACCTGGGAGGTGGAGGTTGCAGTGAGCTGAGATCATGCCATTGCACTCCAGCCTGGGCAACAAGAGGAAAACTCAGTCTCAAAAAAAAAAAAAAAAATAACCAGACATGATGACATGCACCTGTAGTCCCAGCTACTTGTGAGGCTGAGGTGGGAGGATGGCTTGAGTCCAGTAGGTGGAGGTTGCAGTGAGCTGAGATTATGCCCCTGCACTCCAGCCTGGACAGTGGAGCCAGACCATGTCTCAACAAATAAATAAATATTTTTTAAAATGCAGAAATTTGCTCTTTCCTAGTTCTGGAGGCTAGGAGTTCTAAATGAAGGTGTTGGCAGGGCTGGTTCCTTCCAGAGGCCCTGAGGAAGAACCTGTTCCCTACCTCTCTCCCAGCTGCTGGTGATTCCTGGCAACACTTGGCATTCCTTGATTCACGGACGCATCACCCCTGACTCTGGCTCCGTCTTTATATGGCACCCTCCTCTGTGTGTGCATGTCTCTGTGTCTCTGATTTCTTCTAAAGATAACAGTCATTGGCTTTAGGGCCCATCCTAGACTAGAGTGACCTCATCTTAACTGATTACACCTTCAAAGACCCTATTTCCAAATAAGGTCACATTCTGAGGTTCTGGGTGGACATGAACTTTTGGGGACACTCTTCAATTTAGTATAGTGTCTTTCCAGCTGTCACCTTCTCACTCCTCTCACATGTTCTCCTTCCCTCTTGGGGACCTGAAGTCTGACTGCCTCCCTCCGTTGTGGGTCCTCTGTTGACCTCATTTTCTTTCTCTCTCTTTCTTTTCTTTTCTTTTCCTTCTTTCTTTCTTTCTTTCTTTCTCTTTTTTCTTTCTTTTCTTTCTTTCTTTTTCTTTCTTTCTCCTTCCTTCCTACCTTCCTTTCTTCCTTCCTTCTTTCTTTCTTTCTCTTTCTCTCTTTCTTTTTTTTCTTTCTTTCTCTCTCTCTCTCTTCCTTCCTTTGTCTCTCTCTCTCTCTCTCTCTCTTTCTTTCTTTCTTTCTTTTTTGACATAGGGTCTCACCCTGTCACTCAGGCTGAAGCATAGATAGTATCACAATCTTGGCTCATTGCAACCTCTGCCTCCCAGGCTCACACAGTCCTCCCACCCCAGCCTCCAAAGGACCTGGGATCACAAGTGTGCACCACTGAGCCTGGCTAATTTTTTTGTGGAGACAGGGTTTTGCCACATTGCCCAGGCTGGTCTTGAATTCCTAGACTCAAGCAATGCCCCTTCCCTTGGCCTCCCAGAGTTCTGGGATTACAGGCATGAGCTACTGTGCCTGGCCAGGTATTCCTATCTAGCTTTGATTCACACAGCTGATGACCTGAATCTTACCATCTCTTCCTCCGACTTCCTATCCTCCATCTGCAGCCTGCCTCCCTCCATGAG